TTATTAGAACTTGTCCTAACAATTAAAGAGGAACTGATCACGGAACTAAAAATTAATGGTAGCTTGTGCAAGCAGAATAAAGTCCAGACCAGTCATACATAGACTTGGTCCTTTTATAAGGCCAGTTTTACAAAGCTAAAATAATTAGAAGCCAAATCAGTTGGGAGGAAGAATTTAATCAGAAAAATGTGAATGATAATTGGGAATCATTTAAGAACACCTTACTAGATGCCCCAAAAGCCACAATCCCACAACTGAGCAAGAAGGTTGTGCTGGTTAAAAAAACAACTTGGTTTAGAGGAGAAGTGAGGGCAGCTATAACCTATATAAACAAATAAAAGACAGGGAAAGTTGATACTTATGAATATAAATCAGAAGTTAGGAATTGTAAAAAATCGATATGGGAACCAAAGGGAAACAAGGAGAAATCTAGGGCCAGCAAAGATAAGGACAATAACAAGCAATTTTTAAAATATATTAGGAACAAAAAGAATCCTGACATGGTATTGGTCTATTACTAGATGGAAATAGTAGAGTTTTCAATAATAATGCAGAAAAGGAAGAAGTGTCCAATAAATATTTTTTTTCTGTATTTGGGGAAAAAAACGATATAGACTCATCATATTGTGATGATAATACTCTTTCCATTCCACTAGTATCTCTGTAGAATGTTATATAGAGTTTGATATTTTAAAATCAGCATGTCCAAATAATTTGCATCCAAGAGTTTTAAAAGAGCCAACTGAGGAGCTCGCTGGACTGTTAATGTTGATTTTCAGTAAGTTTTGCAGCACTGGGGAAGGTCTAGAACAGTGCTTCTCAAAGCCGGTCCGCCGCTTGTTCAGGGAAAGCCCCTGGCGGTCCGGGCCGGTTTACCTGCCGCGTCCGCAGGTTCGGCCGATCGCGGCTCCCACTGGCCGCAGTTTGCCACTCCAGGCCAATGGGGGCTGCAGGAAGGGTGGCCAGCACATCCCTCGGCCCGCGCCACTTCCTGTAGCCCCCATTGCCCTGGAGCGGCGAACCGCGGCCAGTGGGAGCCGCGATGGGCCGAACCTGCGGACGTGGCAGGTAAACAAACCGGCCCGGACCGCCAGGGGCTTTCCCTGAACAACCGGCAGCCCGACTTTGAGAAGCACTGGACTAGAAGACTGGAAGAAAGCTAATGTGACAATTTTTAAAACGGGTAAACAAGATATTATAAATCTGTCAGCCTGACATCAGTCTTTGGCAAGGTAATGGAGTGGCTGATATGGGACTTGATTAATAAAGAATTAAAGAAGGGTAACATACTTAATTCAAATCAACATGGGTATATGGAAAACAGATCCTGTCAAAATAACTTGATATCTCTTTAGGATGAGATTACAAGTGTGGTTGATAAAGGTAATAGTGCTGACATAATACACTTAGGTTTCTGTAAGGCTTTTGACTTGGCACCACACAGCATTTTGTTTAAAAAGCTATAATGATATAAAATTAACATGGTACACATTAAATAGATTAAAAACTGAGTAACTGATAGATCTCAAAATTATTTAATGGGAAATCATCACCAAGTGGGTTTGTTTCCAGTGGGGTCCTGCAGGGATCAGTTCTTGGTCCTATACTGTTTAACATTTTTATTGATGACCAGGAAGAAAATACAAAATCATAAAATTTGTGGTTGACACAAAAATTAGGGGATCGCTAAATAATGAATAGGACAGGTCACTGATTCAGAATGATCTGGATCAGCGGTTCTCAACCGGGGGTCCGCAAGTCCTTTCAGGGGGGCTGCAGGGCCTCGCGGCTGAAACCTGGAGCCCCAAGCCCCGGCACTACACTGGCACCCCCAAAAGCCAGGAGAGGCGTGGGGATGAAGCCAGCAAACCTTCCTCCAACCCCCCAAGCCAGGAGCAGCAGGGGGCTGAAGCTGGGCGCTCCAGTGCCCCGCCCCCTGCTGAAGCTGGGAGCCTCACTGGGAGCCCCCCCCCCGCCCGTACACAGCCTTTAGCTACCCCCTGCCTGTACCCTGAACTATTTTTTTGCCAGCACACAGCCCCTAGTACCCCCTCCCTGCACCCTGAGCTATACCCCTCACTTCACACAGCCCCTAGCTACCCCCTGCCCGCACACAGCCCCTAGTACCCCTCTCCCTGCACCCTGAGCGGTTTTCAAACTTTTTAAACTGAATCTCCCCTTTGAGTTATATTTTTTGGTTGCATCCCCCCACAGCCCAGATAGGCTGGGAGACCTCCTGAGTGAGTCGGGGTGGAGGTGGCGCTCCCTCTCTGGACCCTGCTGTGTGGAGCTGGCTCGAGCCCCATCAGCCCTTGCCCCGCCCCAAAATAGAAGTAAAACTATGCCTATGCCCAAGGCCCCCCCCCCCGAGCCCCTCCCCACCCCCACCCCTTGCTGGGTCCTGGAGCTTTTATAGCATGTTGAGGGGGGCCTCAGCAAGAAAAAGGTGGAGAACCCCTGATCTGGATCACTTGTTAAGCTGGGTGCAAGTAAACTGTGTTTTAATATGGCTAAATGTTCCTAGATGTATACACTTACAAAGAACAGAGGCCCTACTTACAGATTGGGGGACTCTATCCAGGGAAACAGCGCCTCTGAAAAAGAATTGGAGGTTGTGGTGGATAATCAGCTGAACATGAGTAAGGCTCCGTGTTTGTCATGGAGGTCACAGAAGTCATGGATTCCATGACTTTCCATGACCTCCGTGACTTCTGCAGCGGCCCACATGGGTGGCTGCGGAGCTGCCTGAGCAGCTTGGGCAGCCCAGGCCAGGTGCACCAGCCGCTGCTGGGGCAGTCTTGGGCCCACCCGCCAGCAGCAGGAGTTTGGGCATGGGGGGGCGGGGCTCAGGGCTGGGGATTGGGTTATGGGGCAGTGCTTACCTGGGGGGGCTCCCTGGAAGGGCAACAGGAACTCCCCTCCTTCAGCTCCTAGCTCCATGTGCTGCCTCCACCCCCTCTGTCCTTCAAAAGCCACACACAAGGGGAGCAGCAGCTGGAGTTCCCCTCCACAAGGTAGAGGAGAAACAGCCAGAGCCAAGAATTATCACTTGCCTCTAGATTGGGGTAGGCAAGCTATGGCATGCATGCCAAAGGCGGCACGCGAGCTGATTTTCAGTGGCACTCACACTGCCCAGGTCCTGGCCACTGGTCCGGGGGGCTCTGCATTTTAATTTAATTTTAAATGAAGCTTCTTAAACATTTTAAAAACCTTATTTACTTTACATACAACAATAGTTTCGTTATTTATTATATACTTATAGAAAGAGACCTTCTAAAAACGTTAAAATGTATTACTGGCATGCAAAACCTTAAATTAGAGTGAATAAATGAAGACCCGGCACACCACTTGTGAAAGGTTGCCGACCCCTGCTCTAGTGCTTCCATTACATGTGTGTTCCTCCCATTCATGTATTCTGACACCAACTTCTGTACCTGCATGCACACTCCTGTTTGGGGTTTTTTGATAGTAACAGAAAAAAAACATCAAAAATATGAACAACTGGTTTAAACAAGTAAAGAAATATTTTTGCAAAGGAACTTGGGGATAGTACAAAGCTGCTTTACTTCCTTTTGCTGAAATTGACCAATTTCAGTTTGATGATATCCCTTAATGAATTGACCCTGACTGTACCCCCGTGAAGTATAATTATCACCGTTTTACACAGGGGGAACTGAAGCACAGAAAGGTTAAGTGACATGCGCAAGTCTGTGTCACAGCCAGGAAAAGAATCCAGATCTCCTGACTTCCAGTGCCAAGCATGAACAATTACGAGAAAGCCATCCTCATTATTATTCTGCAGCATCGTTTTACATTATTGCGAAGTGCTTTTCAGTCTGTAGATTAGCAAATAATATTTAGCATTTATGTCGGAATTTTCATCTTCATAAGTCTTAGCAAGGTGGAGGTAGTGCTGTTATTTACATAATGCCCAACAGTGATCTGTGTACTCCATAGATCTGTGAGAAGATGAACCCTCCCCAAAGACCTTACTGCAGCCCGAGGGCCGCAGGTTGCCCACCACTGCCTTACAGTCTAAGAGCTAGATCCTACAACTGGATCCACACAGGTAGACCCATGTACCCACACAGATCCAGTTCCAAGATCTAGCCCTAAATGGACAACATTCAGGAACAGGAGGGATGCAGCACAAACCCTTTTCTCACTTTTCCTGTTATCCCTTCTGTGTGTGGCATTTGTTTTTATCCAGGCCCTTTTGCATTTTTGACTGTGGTTAGCCTTTGTGTGACTTCTCTTTGTATTTTAATCTCTGCCTAGTTGTCTTTTTAACCCTTTCCTACTTTTTATTAATTATTTGTGTTAAGATAGCGCCTAGAGTCCCCAGCTGAGATCAGGCCCTAGTGTGCAGACAGATAGTGAGAAACAGTCCCTATCCCAAAGAGCTTACAATCTAAATAGACAAGTCAGAAACGGGTGGGAGGGGAACCAGAGGCACAGAGGTGTGAAGTAACTTGCCCAAGGTCACATAGCTGGTCAGTGGCAGAGCCAGGAATAGACCCTCAGTCTCCTGATTCAGTCCAGTGCTCTATCGAGTGAACAGTGCTGCTTCTATTTTACAGATGGGAAGACTGAGCTTGCCCAAGGTCACAAATGGAATGTGAGTCAACAGCTGGGATTAGAATTTAGGAGTTCCTGGTTCTTGGTGCTGTATTTGACCATGCTGCCTCTCTCCCCCTCATGTATTAAAAATAAACATTTAAAGCCCCACAGTCCTGGAGAAATTAAACAAGATTTTCTTTATCCTTACAGGTAATAGGCTCCAGCACTCTCTGATGTGACATCACCAGCAGAGAGCATCTTGAAACGTTACACCTAGTGGGAGCTAGCAGTTGCTGAGGCTCTGAGTGTTGGAGATTTGCATGACAACAGAAAAAGTGAAGTTTATATTACTGGTGTGTTGAATGAACATCTTACCTGGGTCCTTGGGGACACTGGACACATTGTACTGAAAGAATTTGAATTATGACTTTTATTTGCAGATGGCCTTAAAAAATTATTGCAGCTGCCAGCTAAGAAAAATGAGATAATGTGGTAAGGCAAAAGTGGATGAGAAGGAAAACACTGGAAGGATAAGGACAGAAAAGGAGAATAGAGATTCACTATAACAAGGCTAGGGGGTTAAAAAATTTCTGGTGTACAGAAAATGGGTATTGCCCAGGGTGGTGCTGGCCTTGACAATGTTTTAGTGGCAGTGGTTGCAGACCTCTAACTTCCTTCTGTTATTGAGGAACCATCTAATTTCACCTTCCTGTCTTTTCCTTTCCCCTTTTTACTTGCAAATCTCTTTTCTATAATCCCATTATGTTAAAGAAACAACATTCCCTCCTTCTTTCCTGTGAACTCAGGGAGGAGATTTGTGGGAGTTGGCAGTACTACTTTGCTTATTTAAACTGTGACAGATACTTTAATGCAGCTGCAGTTAGATGTGTGAAAGAACAAGCTTGAGGTGCTGATGGCAGCAGACTAATATCTTCTAAACTAAAGGTGCTACAAATCATATGAAGTGACTCACAAGCCCATGCAAGGTTGTTGGTATCTGCATGAAATGTTCTTCACTGAGCCATGTATTGCTGAGCAAGTTTGGAAGTTTTCATATTGACCCTGCCCCCACCAGTGGCTTTCCAAGAAAAAATTCTAGTTCTCATTCCTCCAATCCCAATTGCTAGAGCCCCTAGCAGCTAACTTCTGTAACGATGCTGGTTCTGGTGGCCTCCAACTGAGAGTGCCATTTCAGGACAAATTGCTTAAAACAGGGCAGTTACAGCCCAAGGCTGGGGTTTTTCCACCTCGAAGGCAAACCAAACCAGCCAGACAAAGAGGACTTTGGTCTCACCCCACTAGCTAACCACAAGTCACACAAGCAATTCCCTTAGACGCTCCAGTTTCCCAGTATCACCACCAGTGCCACTCGTTAGGGGGACAAATGGTTATGAAAACCAATACCCCAGTAAAAGAAAAAAGGCTCTCTCGATCCAAAAGGACCAGCCCCAGACCCAAGTCAATATACAAATCAGATCTTACCCACAAATCACGCTGTTGCCAATCCTTTCGAATCTAAAATCTAAAGGTTTATTCATAAAAGGAAAAAGATTTAGATGAGAGCTAGAATTGGTTAGATGGAATCAATTCCATACAGTAATGTCAAAGTCTTGGTTCAGGCTTGTAGCAGTGATAGAATAAACTGCAGGTTCAAATCAAGTCTCTGGAGTACATCCACAGCTGGGATGGGTCATCAGTCCATTGTTGAGAGCTTCAGTTTGTAGCAAAGTCCCTCCAGAGGTAAGAAGCAGGATTGAAGACAAGCTGGAGATGAGGCATCAGCCTTTTATAGTCTTTTCCAGGTATAAGAACACCTCCTTGTTCTTACTGTGGAAAATTACAGCAAAATGGAGTCTGGAGTCACATGGGCAAGTTCCTGCATACTTTGCTGAGTTACAAGGCGTATCTGCCTTCTCTCAGTGGGTCAATTGTATAGCTGATGGTCCTTAATGGGCCATCAAGCAGGCTAGGCAGAGCTAACACCAACTTGTCTGGGATGTCTCCCAGAAGCATAGCATAAGTTTGAAATACAGACAGTATAGAGCCAATATTCATAACTTCAACTAAAATTGATACACACATATAGACAGCATAATCATAACCAGTAAACCATAACCTTGTCTTAGACACCTCATTTGACCCCCTTTATACAAGATTTGGTGCCGCAACAGGACTTTGGTTGCAACCATGTTCTATACGATCCCAGTTCAAGTCAATAACGTGACAACTTCTATTCTGTTTTTATCTCAGCAAGTCATGTTTTATTCATGCCAGTCAATCACTGCTAGAGTGGCTGGGCACAAAGTCTACTGGGATGCAAGTGGAATAGAAGCTAGATCTGGAAATGCTGTGGGCCCTCACCAGCTACACTCTCCGTATTCCTCCCAGCTGGTATAGGGTGGTTGCATTAACAGTTTTATGTTTTGTTCCACAGTCTCTCTCCAGGTGACTTCCAGATAATGGAGAAGATGGTGAAAAGGAAGTGTGCATTTTGTCCAGCAGATGAAGAGTGTGCTATAATGTACATTGCAGAAAAGCAAAATCTTGCAGTTCATCAGGATTGTTTGGTGAGAGTTTTTCTTAACATATGAATAATATTAAAGGAATCAAGAAGGACCAAAAGGAAAAATTTCAAAGACAATATGGATATTGTACATAATTGTCTACTCTAGAACAGTGGTTCTTAATCGGGAGTATGTGTACGCCGGGGGTACGCAGAGGTCTTCAGGGGTTACATCAACTCATCTAGATCAGGGGTGGGCAAACTTTTTGGCCCGAAGGCCACATCTGGGTGTGCAAATTGCATGCAGGGCCATGAATGTAGGGCTGGGGCAGGGGGTTGGGGTGCAGGAGGGAGTGCGGGGTGTGGGAGGGGGTGTGGTGTGCAGGAAGGGGCTCGGGGCAGGGGGTTGGGGTGCGGGGTGCAGGAGGGGTTCAAGGTGCGGGCTCCGGCCCGGCGTTGCTTACCTGGAGTGGCTCCTGGGTGGCAGCAGCACGCAGCGGGGCTAAGGCAGGCTCCCTGCCTGCCCTCGCCCCACACCGCTCCCGGAAGTTGCCAGCACCACGTCCCTGTGGCCCCTGGGGGAGGGAGGGGCAGAGGACTCTGCTCGCTGCCCTTGCCTGCGGGTACCTCCCCCGAAGCTCCCATTGGCCGCGGTTCCCCGTTCCCAGCCAATGGGAGTGGTGCCAGCTGCTTCCGGGAGTGGCTAAGGATCCGCGGTGCCATGAGGGTGGCAATCTCGTGGGCCGGATCTAAAGCCCTGATGGGTCGGATCCAGCCCGTGGGCCATAGTTTGCCCATTCCTGATCTAGATATTTGCCTAGATTTACAACAGGCTGCATAAAAAGCACTAGCGAAGTCAGTGCAAACTACAATTTCATACAATGACTTGTTTATACTGCTCTATGTACTATACACTGAAATGTATTTCATTTGTATTCCGATCGATTTACTTTATAATTATCTGGTAAAAATGAGAAAATAAGCACTTTTTCAGTAACAGTGTGCTGTGACACTACATCTGATTTTGAAAGCAAGTAGTTTTTAAGTGAGGTGGAACTTTGGGGTACACAAGACAAATCAGACTCCTGAAAGGGGTACAGTAGTCTGGAAAGGTTGAGAGCCAGTGCTCTAGAAGAAAAGAGAACTCTTTCCCTCTCTGTATCAGAAGGCAGTGAATGATCTACAATTTCATGGTCTTCTGGTGCTCCAATGATTAGAGCTTCAGACAGTTATATATATATATATATATTTTTTTTTACTTGCCGAAATGGTTGGTGCATTGAGGTAGCGGGGAATAAGAAGAGTAATACAGGAGTCGGGATGGAATGTAGAAAGAGTAAAAACTAGCCCAATTCATCATTGCCTTGCTCTTTGTATAGTCACTTTACACCAGTGCAAAGTGACTGTAAAGTGTTACTAAATCAGAATAGTAGCATTTTACATCCAATTTTCACTGGTATAACTAGCTACATAAGTTACAGGACAATGCTGAATAGGGCCCATGGGTCTGGGTAGGCAGTAGAAGGAAGGACATCAAAAAAGCAGGACTGAAAATATCTGTTTTGTCACTTAAAAGAAAACCCTGGCAGTCAAAGGATTTCAGAGTTCAAGACAAGTTCAATATTTTGGTTAGCCATTGTTAAATTTAGAAACTATAGAAAGTGCCTTAACCTTAGGTAAGAATTCAGAACAAAAATGAACTTGTTTCGCAACAACTTTGAAACCCTTTGACTTCCAATGATTTTGAATGGCAAAGCAGTCTTTCAGTCCCTGGCCCAATCCTGCAAAGACTTATGCATGTGCTAAATTGGATATAATGTGAGTAGTCTCAACTGAAGTAATTGAATCAGACTCCTTACAGTGCGAACAGGTAAACATGTCCCTAGTCTTTGCAGGATCAAGGCCATAATTTGCATGATCAACGTGGCAAGATGGCAGCTTCTTGTGTGTGTCTTAAATATAAGGAATAATTAAGTGGGGTTTTAATTTAAGAATTGGCTATGAAAAAATGTCCTTGTGAGGTTCTAGGTTTATTGTGGTTCTAGAACAAATTTACTCAGAAGACAGATTTTATTTGCAAACTATCTGCTAGCCCTGTAATCTTATCCTTGGATATTTCCTCCTTTCACATCAGCACCAGTAATAAAGATTCTGGACATCATATTCTGACCTCAGCTAGGCGTAACTAAGGGCAGAATTTGGCTCCACCATTGGAACTTAGTTAACTATTCTGTATACTTTTATGAGAGCCCTCTTCCTAAATTTATTTGTTCTGCTATAGTATCAGGAGAAAAGTAATATGAAAAAATTGTCATTAAATATGCAGGTATGTTTTTAAACTCACAGAGAGCAGATCTTTTAAGTTAAAAGGTGCCATCTTTGCAGTCACTTTCCTTGCTATAACCACACCTATACCTTGATATTTTAGTGTGTAGGATACCTATGACATTAAACTGGAGCTTTTCTTTTTTTGATATCATACATCACAAATCCTTTGCTCCACTTTTATTTCTTCCCCTTATAGATCAGCTATCTATTGTTCTTGCTACATTATGTTTATATCTTTATTAATTTGATTACTTTTATTTTTCATTTTACAGTGTTATATGTTTCAAACAAACATTCAGATTCTTGAAAGCAAACCAGTGTTGGTTTAGCAACATTGTTACAGCTTTACTAGTCACTCTGAACCCATATAACATGTGCTAAGTGGCTTCTTATCTCTAAGGCCTTGGCTACACTCAGGACTTCCCAGCGCTGCCGTGGCAGTGCTGTGAAGCGCAAGTGTAGTCGCGCCGCCAGCGCTGCGAGAGCTCTCTCGCAGCGCTGTAAGTACTCCACCTCTCCGAGGGGAATAGCTTGCAGCGCTGCGAGCGAGCATGCAGCGCTGCAGGCTCTGATTACACTGGCGCTTTACAGCGCTGTACTCACTGCGCTCGGAGGGGGGGGGGGCGTTTTCACACCCCTGAGCGCAGCAAGTTGCAGCGCTATACACCGCCAGTGTAGCCAAGGCCTGAGTTTATGTTCTTATTCCTTTAGCTGACCAAGCTTTGTGTCTTCCTATAAATTTATCATGTATTTTAAGTAACAGTTTTGGTGCTAGGTTTTGTTTAAGTATGATCATTTGTTTTCTTATAATCAAATGTAGTTATTAATTAATTATCCCTTCTAATTTGTTGTCATAGTCCAGTACATCAGCAGGTATTCATGCATACATTTCTGCTATATTTTTCCAGCCACTGTTCAACCTGTTTAAGTTGCTTCTCCAACAATTCACTGCCAGTCTTTGCCTGGTATCACGTTGCCAGTGTTAATTCTGTTGTCACTTCCAACTGAGTCCCTCCCGAAAGATCCTGAGCTCTGTCAAACCTGCTGGGCTAACTGGCAAAAGAGGACATGGATAGGATGATGGCCTCCTTGATGAGCCCTGTAAAAATGCCATGTTCCCTTCATATGAAACCTCCTTTAACAGTTGGTGGAGTCTAGTTTCGCTGGTCCTGTCTTGTAGGAGGGTGGAAAAGCTAAGCAGTGCTCCCCCACTCAATATGGGACAATGTTTGTTAAAAACAAAGAAATAAAAATTTACCCTTTTAGGGGGCTTTGTGGGGTGAATAAAAATGCAGATTTTTTTTTAAAGTGCACAGTTCTCATGTCTGACACTGAACTGAAGACCCATCTACTTTCTATCATTCCTTACTGATACACATCAGAGTCTCTCACTGGCTGAGTCACTCTGTTAATTACTGCTGTCTTTTGTTTTGTTTGTAGTTATATTCCTCGGGATTTGTAGAATCCGAAGAGCATAACCCAGAGAATCAGGATACAAGGTTTGATGTGGCCTCAGTTCAGAGTGAAATCAGGAGAGGAAAGCGGCTGGTAAGGCAGCTTCTTTCAAATATTTCCTTGTTTATAATTTATAGTAAGAACAGCAGCATGTTAGATCATGAAGTCTGTTTGTGACATTTTTATGACCTTGTGACATAGAAGCTTGAATAAAATGCATACAAGAACCCAGTCATTCTGACTTACCAAAGATCAGAGTAATTAAAGATCAGAAACATGAGTCTGATTCTACACTTAGTGGAACCTAAAGTATATAGCCACTTTTGTCTGGCAGTAGAAATTAAGGCTGTTTTGGTTCCTTTCTAAGGCCTGGTCTACACTAGGCTTTTATGTCGACTTTAGCGCCGTTATATCGAATTAACCCTGCACCCGTCCACACCAGGAAGCCATTTAGTTCGACATAAAGCTCTCTTTAAATCGATTTCTGTAATCCTCCCCAACGAGAGGATTAGCGCTAAATTCGACATGGCCATATCGAATTAGGCTAGGTGTGGATGGAAATCGACGGTAATAGCTCCGGGAGCTATCCCACAGTGCACCACTCTGTTGACGCTCTGGACTGCAGTCAGAGCTCGGATGCTCTGACCAGCCACACCCCCGGGAAAATTTGAATTCATTTTCATTTTCCTGTCTGGGCAGTTTGAATCTCAGTTCCTCTTTGGACATCGAGGGGAGCTCAGCAGCAGTGGCAACTATGCAGAGCTCTCCAGCAGAGATGGCCGTGCAATCTAATAGAAAGAGGGCCCCAGCATGGACTGATCGGGAAGTCTTGGATCTCATCGCAGTGTGGGGCGATGAGTCCGTGCTTTCAGAGCTGCGCTCCAAAAGAAGGAATGCTAAGATCTACGAGAAGATCTCCAAAGCCATGGCAGAGAGAGGCTACAGCCGGGATGCAACGCAGTGCCGCGTGAAAATCAAGGAGCTGAGACAAGGCTACCAAAAAACCAAAGAGGCTAACGGACGCTCCGGATCCCAGCCCCACACATCCCGTTTCTACGAGGCACTGCATTCCATCCTGGGAGCGGCCGCCACCACTACCCCACCCCTGACCGTGGACTCCGAGGATGGGATCATGTCCGCGGCCGGTTCCTCGTCGGACATGACAGCGGACGGGGAAGATGAAGAAGGAGATGAGGAGGACGAGGCAGTCGACAGCGCTGGCACCGCTGATTTCCCCGACAGCCAGGAGCTCTTCATCACCCTTACCGAGATCCCGTACCAACCGTCCCCATCCCTTACCCCGGACACAGAATCAGGGGAAGGATCAAGCAGTAAGTGCTGTAAACATGTAAACATTTATTTAAAACAGAACGGTAATATTTATACTATTAACAATGTACATTTATAAAAGTTCTGTAAACTAGTAAAAAAATAATCAGGTACAAAACAGGAATATTTACAAAGGTAACAAATGGGTTTTCATGATTTCTCTGTCTTAGGCTCTTCTCAATTTAGTCCCAAGTGTTTTAAAAAATTTTCACAATGTCCGTTACTCCATGATTCCCAGGCCCAAGACGCTCCACTCCATAGTCCCAGTGCACCTACGCGAAAATCCGGTCAATGTGGCCGGGGATCGACGAGAAATCCTCGTAGGAGAACTCCTCGTAGGTCTCGTGGAGGTAGAGCTCAAGCCTGTTGATCAGGTTCCGGGGTAGGGCGATCTTAGTGGGCCCTCCGTGGTAGCAGACATGCCCCCTCCACGCCACAATCAAGTACTCCGGGATCATGGCCCGACATAGCATGGCGGCATACGGCCCCGGTTTCTGCATGCTTTCCCGCAGCATGCGTTCTCTCTGGGTGTCCGGGATCCTCAGAAGGGTGATGTCGCTCATGACGCCCTGCTTTGAATTAGGGAGGGGAATGTTAGTATTGGGACTGCTTTACAGCCACGCGGTGGAGGGAGAGGGGCAGCATACAGGGATCTTTCCCTGGGACAGCCGCGAGGGGGTGGGACAGGGGCAGAGTTGATGCTGTCCTGATTGCTGGCAGCAGAGACTGGCATTGCTTTCAATGTGAAAGGAGGCCAGTGCTACTGCTGGAGTTTTAAGCAGCCACAAGTCTGCGGCTTACCATTATTGCCCGCTCCAGAAGTTCAGGTCTCCAGCCACGCTTCTCAGATCACTCCAAGACCTCCGCAAGTCCACAGGCACTGAAGGCGACGGCCGAAAATTCGACCTTGTCCTGAGTGCGCATGTGAGAGGTGCAGTGCATGGTCTTGTTCACAGAGAAAGACTAGGTTCTTTGTATACAATTTCATTTATCTGTCTCAGGAATTCACTCCCTTTTCACAATTCACACAGACACATCTGCGACTGTCTCCCAACCCAGCCTGTCAGCACACTCCCAGAGGCTAGCGCAGATTAGGCGGAGGAAGAAGAAGACGCGTGAAGACATGTTCTCAGAACTAATGGGATGCTCCCGAGCCCAGGCAGCCCAGCAGACACAGTGGAGGGAGAACTTGTCACAAATGCACCGAGCAGTCATGGAACGGGAGGAGAGGTGGCGTCAGGAGGACCAACAGGCTACTGAAAAGCTGCTTGGACTAATGAGGGAGCAAACGGACACGCTCCGGCGCCTTGTGGATGTTCTGCAAGACCGGAGGCAGGAGGACAGAGCCCCGCTGCAGTCTATCTGTAACCGCCCTCACCCGCCACCAAGTCCCACACCACCCTCACCCAAACTCCAAAGAAGGAGGGGCGGCAAGGGCCGTTAAAACTTTCAGTCAACCCCTGCAGACTGCTCTAGCACTAGAAGGCTGACATTCCCCAAAATTTCATAAGTCCTTTCCTACCCACCTCACACAAGCCCCCGTCCAAGTTTCACCCCCCACGTTTCATGTCTGGTTCGCAATAAAATGTTTGTTTCTCTCCATTACTGTTTCAGTCAGGTTCTTTTGAGGGAGAGTCTGTCTGGAGGGGGGGAAGGGGCTTGGTAATTGGGCAGGACAGTGACCTTTAGCAGGGTACAGAGGCGGTGTCAGGTCCAGCATCAGGACACATACACAGTGCAGTCACTGGTTACCCTGGTCAGTCTGGGAGGTGTTTTTCATGTTCTCCATTGAAATAACCAGTCCTCCAGTGCGGAGCCTGGCATTCCGGGAGTTTAGAAGCATCATTTGCATCAGAACACTGAACCCGCCCCCCGCCACAGTCTGCGTCCCCGGTTTAAAATATTCCCGCGAAAACAGCAACACAGACAACGGTGTTCATTAACAAAATCGAAATGATTTTATTTTTTGGGAAGGGGAAGGGGGTGAAGGGGGTATGTAACTGGAGAGGATAGTCAAAATGAACTGGGTAAAGAAACGGGGGCAGGTTCAGCTTTTCTGTCCACAAACTGAAAAGTCACTGGTTGCCCTGCTCACTCAGGAACCTAGCTTTCAAAGCCTCCCGGATGCACAGGGCGTGCCGCTGGGATCTTCTAATGGCCCGGCTGTCTGGCTGGACGTAATCAGCAGCCAGGCTATTTGCCTCAACCTCCCACCCCGCCATAAAGGTCTCCCCCTTGCTCTCACACAGATTGTGGAGCACACAGCAAGCTGCAATAACGATGGGGATATTGGTTTCACTGAGATCACAGCGAGTCAGTAAGCTTCTCCATCTCCCTTTGAGACGGCCAAAAGCACACTCCACCACCATTCTGCACTTGCTCAGCCGGTAGTTGAACAGTTCTTTTTCTGTGTCCAGGGCGCCAGTATAGGGCTTCATGAGCCAGGGCATTAGCGGGTAGGCTGGGTCCCCGAGGATGACTGTAGGCATCTCCACATCCCCAAGAGTTATTTTGTGGTCTGGGAAGTAAATACCTTCCTGCAGCCGTCTAAACAGACCAGAGTTCCTGAACACGCGAGCGTCATGAACCTTGCCCGGCCATCCGACGTAGATGTTTGTAAACCGTCCCCGATGGTCCACCAGTGCTTGCAGCACCATTGAAAAGTAGCCCTTTCTATTGATGTACTGGCTGGCCTGGTGGTCCGGTCCCAGGATAGGGATGTGAGTCCCATCGATAGCCCCACCGCAGTTTGGGAATCCCATCGCGGCAAAGCCATCTATGATGACCTGCGCGTTTCCCAGGGTCACTACCTTTGGGAGCAGTACCTTCACGATTGCCTTGGCTACTTGCATGACAACAACCCCCACGGTAGATTTGCCCACACCAAAGTGGTTCGCGACTGACCGGTAGCTGTCCGGCGTTGCAAGCTTCCAGAGGGCTATGGCCACTCGCTTCTGGACAGTGAGGGCTGCTCGCATGCGGGTGTCCTTGCGCTTCAGGGCAGGGGACAGCAACTCACAAAGTTCGAGGAAAGTCCCCTTCCGCATGCGAAAGTTTCGCAGCCACTGGGATTCATCCCAGACCTGAAGCACTATACGGTCCCACCAGTCCGTGCTTGTTTCCCGGGCCCAGAATCGCCGTTCAACAAAATCCACATGCCCCATTGCCACCGTGATGTCCTGGGCGCTGGGGCTCGTGGTTTCTGACAGCTCTGTGCCACTCTCCGACTTCAGGCTCTCACGGCGGTGCCGTAGCCTCCTCGCCCGATTTCTCTGCATCTGCCTCAGGGAAAGGTGTATGATAAGCTGCGAGGTGTTGAGAACGGCCACAAGTGCAGCGATGGTCGCAGCGTGATCCATGATCGCAGTGCTGTGGCGTCCGCGCTGTCACTGACCAGAAAAGTGCGCGAACTGATTTCCCGCCGGCGCTTTCATGGAGGGAGGGAGGGCGTTAGTGACAGACGGATGACGACAAATTTTTTTTACCCAGAAGGCATTGGCGGCTCGACCCAGAATTCCGATGGGCAGCGGGGACTGCGGGAACTGTGGGATAGCTGCCCACAGTGCACCGCTTCCAATATCGACGCTCGCCCCGTTAGTGTGGACTCACAAAGTCGAATTACTGTCCTTAGTGTGTCCTTAGTGTGGACACACACGTTCGACTTTGCAATATCGATTCCACATATTCGATTTAAGTAAAATCGAATTACCCTCGTAGTGTAGACATACCCTAAGAAAAGGCACTTTTTGGCAGAGGGCAGATTTTGGGTCCTGCTAAGCTTACACATAAGTAACCTCCTGATTTGTGGGACCTAGAAAAGGAAAAGATTTCTTATTAAATGAGAGCTAAGTTTCTAGTCCTTTTGCTTTTGAAGTCACTTTTGAAAGTGGAGCTTGGGCGTTTTTGAAAATTGTTCCCAACATCTCCATACTTGTAAACTGAGCAAATTTAATGTGAAATATTTAGATGTAAAGCCCAACACTGTCACTATCATTGAGTCCCTTCTAAGAATATTAACTGATTTTAATATAATTGTGTAAGAGCAGAGAGAATAATAGAAAGTTGGTTGAAAAATGAGCTGAGCTGGGGTTTGGAGGAGTGACTTTGCATGACGAATATGAAGAGGGAGGCTGAGAGTTAAAGATTTAAGCATGTTCACTGATGAAGCTATTTACTCTCAAGTATAAGATTTTAGTTACTAATTATAAAATGTCTATATCTGCTAACAACTTAACTCCTTCTGCTGTAGATGTGCAACTTCTGTCGCAAGAAAGGAGCCACTGTGGGATGTGAGATAAAAACCTGCCGGAGGAGTTATCACTACTTTTGTGCACTGTGTGATGATGCAGCGTTAGAAACTGATGGAGGGCAAGGAATTTACCGGTATTTAACAAACCATTTTCTAATTTTTTGTAGGTTGTGGTGGCATTGTCAAAAAAGAGGTTAATTTTTTTTTAAATGCAGAAAACGTTGATGTGTATGTCCCCCTAAAAGGTCCTTTGCAACCCAGCCGTGTTTGAAACTCTGTGTGTTTGAGAGCAGTAGAAAAAAATGTTTCTATCTAGCACTGCAATGGAAAAAACCTCCATTTAATGACAGGAATATATAGATGGTTCCACTCACTGCAGTAGCGCACGCTGGTGTCAGGTTGTGGTGCACCATTGACCATAACGTCTTTGGCCCCGTTGATGTTTTGTCTCTATTTGTCTTCCACAGCCCAGCCTTCCGGCCAGGTCATATTTAAGTTCTGTCTCCATCTAGGGTAACGAAAGTCCAGCTAAAGAATGCAAATAAACCTCCAGACAAATGATCTTTCTGCCCCTTCACGCTACGTTGAAGTTTCCTGCTCTGCACCCCTTACTCCTGAGCACTGCGGAGTTCCTTCTTTGCATCTTAGGCTGAGCACTGCCTCCCAGGGCTTATTCTCTGGAGGCCCTTCTTAGTAGGTTTCCCCACTGCCTTCCCCCTCCAGGGACTCTGGCAGCTTCTCTCAGGGACCTCCCTGCTTCTTACAGGCCCTATCTCAGGACCTCCCACGGGAGCTAACCAGCTCCCTGGGGTTCTCTCCAGCCTGCCTCCACGAGGCCCTTCCCAGAAAGAGAAAATTCCCCCTGCTTCTCTTTCCTGGGTCTTCCCTGTGACAATATCCATCAGTCTGACAGAATCCCGAAAGAGCATGGAGCTAAAATTGAGACGCAGTTTTCATTAGCCATCTGGTCAGTAAACATTTCTGCCCCACAAGGTAGAATATTGCTTCCACCCAAATTCAGGTTTACTCCGGGTTCACATGCTTCAGTGAATAGTCTCAGTACAAGGACACTGCCGCGCTCTCTAAGACCATCTACCTTAGAGAGCTTTGGTAGTTTCCCCTCTGGTTCAGCACCTGGAATGCTAGTGGAAAACTTTGTGTCCCCATACAAAAGAACTTCTCATGTTTCATATATGTTCCCAATACCAGCAGAATTGAACTAGCTTTGAGCAAGTCTTCTAAATGCCTTCCAAACCCACTGTAATGGTGGTATATGCATATACTAGAATTTTGTAACATTTCAGCCAGAGATGTTGCTGGTTGCTCAAAGAAAAGAGGTTCTCCCTCATTGTTCTAAATGCTGGGATTGCAGCTGACTGTGGAGGTGGCCGATATATTTTGGTAAAGTTTGGAGTGCTCAGAATCCACAACGTCTGTTTCTGTGCTATGGAATGATAACAGTTGAAGCTTACTCTGTCATTGAGGGTGTGGACTTTATTATTGTTACCTCTTCCAGGAAGAGGCAAGGCACTACAACCAGTATGGGTTTTCACATGACAAAATACATGCACTATTGGGTTATTTGGTAGGGCTGTCAATCTGGCATGTTTCACAAGCACAAAAATAGTCCTTTCCCACTGATTCCAGTAGCAGTTTAACTGTCCCAGCTCTGCCACTGGCTTGGTATGTGATGCTAAACAAGTGACAAGCTCTGTGAGTCTTAGTTTCCCCAACTGTAAAATGGGGATGATGTGACATTTAACTTGTTAACTTACTAATGTTTGTAAAGCACTCTACAGACCTCAGTTCAGAATCTCTGAGGCTGACGAAGGAGAGTAGCCTAAAAGAGAAACTTTCTGGGAGCAGAAGACAAAGCATGGCTGATGTAGGATGGCTTTAGAAAGTGTGGAAAAAATATGTTGGCCCAAAATAGACTCCAGGATTCAATTTCTGCATCCTGAAAGCCTATCATTGAACAGCCGTTAAGAAATGAATCAAATAGCTTCAGATTTATAAAGAGGTGGTTGTGCTTAGAATTTGATTAATTTCTGCCAGGAGGTGTGACAGTGAAAACTATTAAACGTGAAGCATAACTGATGAGGACTTAAGACTTTTAGTAAGTTATCAGATTAAACGCTCATTAAATTGAGGAGCATAGCATTGGTACCAAATTTCTAAATCGGTGGCTGAAGAATGATACATTGATACAGATTAGATTGGAGCACGGTGAGGGGGAAAATGTGGGGATTAGACCCAAACTTTTTTTTTTTTTTTTGCATTATACATAGGACCTTATCAAATTCATGGCTGTGAAAAATGAATCACGGACCATGAAACCTGATCTCTACCGTGAATCTGGCATGCAGCCTGGAGCTCCTACCCTGCACAGGGCTCCAGCTGCTAGTCCCCGCTGGGGATGGGGAGGGACGAGACTTCCTCTTCCCCTTTGAAGCCACTCCTGGGGAGGGTCAGACTTACCTCCAGGATCTCCCCTGGCTACAAGAAGCTGGCGGCCCCAGATGCGGAGAGGCTGCGGGTCCAGCTGTCAGTGCCCCACTCAGGCAGGAGACTGCTGAGAAAACCATAACTGCTATGGTAACACACACACACACACCATACCCTGTGACCCTCACTTCTGCATTGCTGCACTGCTGGCGGTGGTGCTGGCTTTAGAGATGGGCGCCTGGCCAGCAGCTTTCCTCTCTGGCTGCCCAGCTCTGAATGCAGCGCCCCTGCCAGCAGCAGCGCAGAAGTAAGGGAGGCAATCCCACAACTCCCCTACAATAGCCTTGCAACCCTCCAACCCTGACCCCCTTTTGGGTCGGGACCCCCACGGTTACAACACCATGAAATTTCAGATGTAAAAGTCTGAAAACGTCAACTTGACTAATTTAAAACCCCCTGGCTGTGAAATTGACCAAAATGGACTGTGAATTTGGCAGGGCCCTAATTATACATCAGTGATGCACATAAAGGGACATGCAGCAGCATGCACAAGTTTGAAGCTAAGCTAGCAAACCTAGGAGGGCCAGCCACTGCCCAAGAGTGGAGAAATTAGAGACTGGAAAAACTGTGGGCATGGATTGACGACACATGCAATTGTGCATGGAAAAAACGTAAAGTAATGAGTATTGTGTCAAAATGGATAACGTCTTAAATGGATATGACTCGGATGGGGATTTAGAACTTAAAACCATCAGCATGATGACTAGGAAAGCAAATGGAATAGAGCAAAAATGAAAAGTGGTCATTATGGCACTATATAAAGAAAACAGCTGCAGAATTTAGCATAACTTGGGGAGCTCATTTGTAAAAACAGTACGGGAGCGTTGGAAATGCTCCAGAAGAGGGTAACCAGGATGATAAAAGGTGGAGGGATTATAAATATGTGAATTAGTAAAAATGTGTTAAAATGTGTTAATTGTATTTTAAAACATGTTAATTAGGAAAGAACCAGATAGGGCTGTGAGCTATTAAAAAAATAAAAATGTTGTGGTATAAATAGGGCAAATTATTTTTAATGTGCAATTCCATACCTAGCTTTCTGGATTTAATTATTGAGAGTGCACACATCTGGTATTTGTGTGAGAAAATGAACAGTCACAGTAGCTGCACATTCAAAAGTAGGCCTCATTTTTATAAAAGAACAAAATGTGGACCTTTAAGATTAGGGCTGTGTTAAAAAAAATTAGAAAATGCACAGTACATTATTGCACCTCTGTTTTTGACAACATTTTCTTCAAAACATTTCAGTGCTAGTTTCTGAAAATAGGCCATCTCAGCCATAACGCCAGCATTGTAATACAGTTTGAAAAGTGCATTGGGATCCTTCTGGAAGAAAGGTGTTGTATAAATGGTGGGCAGTTGTTTTGTGTTCTTCAGGAAAGCAACTGTTATATATTCTTCACCCTTTGGTAAACACAATTATTATTTACTATACCTGTCCTTAGTCTCTTATAGTAGATCCATGTTGCCCTCCAAAAATCTGCAACAACTGGTGGTAGAAGGGGGATTTCCCCCCCCCCCTTTACTGAACTCTCTAAATCAGGTAAAAAGGAATTAATGGAATAAGCAGCTGTTGGCCACTCTGCCTAAGCAATGGGTAGGGGTATGTCACAAGAGAACATGCTGGTTTAACAGTTCGTTCAAAACTGTACCATAACAGCATTTGAATCTAGTCAAGCTTTGCAAATAAAGTTACAGGAGCTTGTGTTATAAAAGTGCCTGTGGTAAGGCTCAACATGGTCAGATTTCATAGCTGAGGAAGATAATGCTCAAATTTCAGTTTTAAACAGGTTCAGTTTTGTGTTCAGATTTTTTTGTATCATTAGTATAGGTGCTGGTGAAAAGAGGGAAGATATCTTGAAAAACAAAGTTAGTATATCATTGTTTACATATTAATTAATACTGTTTCTCTCTCTTTTAAAATTGAACCAATGTTTTAGAGTGTTCTGTCCAAAACATGACCCAGGCAAAAGGAGCAATCATTATGGTGAGTTTCTTTAATGGTTTGGTTGATTTCATTTATTTTTTAAATCTGCCTTCTACATTATTTGCAGTGGGTCACCAATTCATATGAATAAAGTTAGTGTCACTCCACTCCCCTGTAGAATTGTGGGTTTCGTAAAAAGTTACAACCATGTTTCTAATCTTGCAGTAATGGTTCGGCTGAGATCCATGTATTTGCATAGAAAACTCAAAGCATTTTACGTAAGAAGTATTTTGTATGTAAGAGTTGCCCTGAGGTTTTCCAGATAAAAGTTAAAACCATAAAATAGAAACACTGTGGACCAGATTCTCAATAGAACTACATTGATTTGCACGAGCTGAGAATCTGGCCCTGTATTGAAGATTATAGCTCCTTTCTATACTCCTATACCGACAGGGTCACATTCTAGAAAGTTGGCTGGCACCAACATTTGACTTAAGTATTTTGTTTTAAAATACATTCCACAGTTTCACAAGTGCTTCTTACTGTTTGCTCTCTGAGATTGCTGGGCTGAGCAAAATGACTTGTAAAACATGAGCACAGTACTAAAGATGCACAAATTAACACTTGATTTGCCAAAAGAGAGCTGTTACAATACTAGTCACTTGGGATTCTTATCTGTAGTTATATTAAACCTTTTCAAATTAGCATTTTTCACATTCAAAATACTTTATAGTAGTGCCTTTCATTCTGCAGGATCCCAAAGAGCTTTATCAATGTAACACTGATATATAAACTACATATAAGGATCACTTCCTCTACCACTGAAACGCAGCCAGTTTGAGCGTGAAACACCTCAGCTTTCTAACACATTACAGCCATTCAGAATAGAAAGTGAAGAACCTGTAATAAGAACTGGGGAGAAGTGCCATGGGTTTTGTAATGACCACAAGAAGGCAGGGCCAATTTCATATCTCATCCAAAAACGTGGCCTCTTCAGCACCATAATGTCATCTAATATCATTCTAGGACAGTAATATAATGACCACTCATACAGCTGAGTACTGCTCGCTGAATTGGCAACACAAATTTCTGCCATACGGAAGATTTAATAAACCTCAGAGTCAGGACACGCTTCGTTAATGTTTGTAAAATGCTGTTTAAGTACTTTTATGAGCTGGGTGAAACCTTGTTGTGGTTTGAGTTAAAACCCCATTCAGAATGGTAGGTGTGACCTCACCCTTCAATTAACATAACTGTAAGCATAAACCCTCACCTAAAATAAAAGGAGGGTGAGCCCACTCAGAAGGTTTTGGTGGAGTATTATTTTGGGTAGGGAGTATGTGTGTTTGTGTGAAGGCAGAAGAGACAAAAGACTGAAAAAGATAAGAACAGAGAGAGAGGGAGAGGCAAAAAACAAGAAAGCCAAGCAATAGCCTGATCACAGTGTGACCCTGGAAAAAACTAGAGAGCACTTTGGGGTTGGTTGGCTAAAGAGGCTTGAGGTTGTAAGATAAGAAATTGATCCTTTTGTTCTTGATTCCTCCTGCATTTGGGGAACAAGGACTTTGCACATGCATCAAAAGGAATACCAAACTCCACCAGTTTCTGCTTCCAGCTGGAACGTTCCCAAGGCCCTAAAATGTGACTAGCCGCTCTGATTGAGAAGTGGCAACATTGATTTCAGGAGCAAGATCCAGTGTCCAAGGAGAGAGATCGTTAGCTCCCATAAATCAAAACTGGCCAGTGGGATTTAAAACAAGTCCTGAAACAGGAGTTGAAGGCTTCACAAAATAATTTAAAACAAGAGATGAAGGCTTCACAAAAGGAACTAAACCATCATCTGGAGGATTCCCAGAAAGGACTGCGGGTTGACATGCAGGCAGAGGTCAAGTCTCTACAAAGAGCCCAGCAACTACAAAGAGTCCAGACAGGTTGGGAAGCCCAGTTGCAAAGTTCCCAGAATGGAATGGGAAGGTGATCAAACAGGTGACCAGTAACCTGACTGCCACAAACCAGAAGTTTTTTTCCATGAAATAGTGGAGACCAGGCAAGCGTTAGCCTGCTTGGAACTTGCTAACAGAGATGAGCTGCTGCAATGACTCAAGCATCGGAAAATTAAGCTCCAGAAGGAAATCAACAGATCACAATGGAACACAGCCACCTGAATGAGGAATTGAGCTGCCAGAAGACAAGTTTTCTGTCTCATTTGTAACCTACAGAGGCCCAGAAGGGAGCGGTTGGGCTGTCCCAGCTCCAGTGATGCAAAATCCTATTATATCTTTGAGGGGAAAACTCCCTGGGAGGTTTATTTGGCTCAGTCCAACAACATAGTTTATGGGGAAGATGGTCAGAAAGGGGGGTTACTAGTAGTCAATTTGGGTAGCCCAGCGCTAATGGTGCTGCAGAACTTAACTCCATCTCTTTTCTGGGGGTATCTAGACCTGGTACAAGCCTTTGACATGTAGTTTGGAGCTAGCCATCAATCTGAGCTGGCCAGTGCACAGCTAAGACTTAGAAGGAGAGGGAAAGAAGAGACCCCACCTGAACTGGAAGAGGACCTGCAAGAGGCTTGTGTTCCTGGCATATCCTGGTGCCACCGAGGCATAGATTAGCAATGGATCAATTTATAGATGCTCAGCTGACTTGGACTTGCAGATCAAGATCAGTGAAAACAAGCCAAAGCCACATTCTGAGAGGCTGTGGAATTTGCCACAGAATTTACCGTAAATCTTTTCTTGTAGCAGTTCATCAGAAAAGGAAGTAGCTGCCAGTGAGGAAGATGGAAACTCAATGCCAGAAGCCCTGTAAGTATGGCTCTGTGTCTAACATGTATGATGAAAGAGGGGATTTTAATCTGGTTCATGACTACACCTCTACCCCGATATAACGCAACCCGATATAACACGAATTCGGATATAACACGGTAACGCAGTGCTCCGGGGGGGCGGGGCTGCGCACTCCGGTGGATTAAAGCAAGTTCGATATAACGCGGTTTCACGTATAACGCGGTAAAATTTTTTGGACAGCGTTATATCGAGGTAGAGGTGTATATTGAACAATTAGAACAAATGATAAATTTGGTTTGTAAAACAAAGGAAATTGGCAACAATGCAAAAATTAAAGGAAACAGTTCAGTTAAATGCTGGTACTGTGACAAAACTGGCCACAAAAAGGATTGTTATAAATTTAAGATGGGCCAGCACAGACTGGCACAAGTGTCTAGTGAAAGCCTTTCTCCTAGTAGGAGAAATGGAGGGGGACACAAGCTGAAGGGGCAAAGCTCAGAATTACAAGGATCAACCCCAGTACACCCACAATCTGATGGGTTGGTGGGGAGGTTCAATTGGAATCTGGGGCTTCAGCTGGCTACATTTGTAGAACAGTACCAAAAGGACTGGGACTAGCATATCCCATTTCTTCTAATGGCTTATAGAGCAGCAGTCAAAGAGAGTACAAAATGTACTGCAGCACTCATGTTTGGACATGAACTAAGGACCCCAGCAAACCTCTTGTGTGGAGTTCCTGAAGAGTAACAAAGGGAGTTAAACTACGTAGAAACCCTACACTCCAAAACTGAAAAAGTTCATACCTTTAGAAGGTAGCTTCTGACAAAATGGAAAGGCCGTATGATGTAAGAGGAAATTTTTAAAAGAGGGCACCCTGTCTGGTTCTACAGTCCTAGAAGAAAGAAGAGTAGGAGCCCTAAGTTGGATGAACCTTGACAAGGACCCTCTACAGTACTGACCCAAATCAATGAAGTGGTGTACAAGAACACAGTTGGGGGCCAGAACTAAACCAAAAGTTTTCCATAAGGACCATTTGAGAAGATATCAGAGGGACAGAATTTCACTTTGGCTGCCCTCTGAATCTGAGAATGTAGCTGTGGAAATTGAGTCTTGAAAAGTTGTTACAAAAGTGAATTCACCATTATAATACAATGAGCAGGGTCTGCCTCAGTCAGCAAATTCCACAGAAACAGTAGATGTCCCTCAGAGGCTGAAAGGAAATCCAGGGAGAGAAAAGCCCTAAAGAGGTTTGGGTGGGAAAAAAATTATTTTGAGCTGGTAACATGAAAAACATCTTGATAGAAAGACACTGTACATATGTGAATAGTTAACTTGTATAATTTTTAATTTGTTAAATTATTGATTTCTCTTTGGTCTGATTGGTGAGTGTCACCATTTTAGGCCTCATCGGGATGATGGACAAATCTGAGGTAGAAAGAGATGTTGTGAGGTAGGTGGGTTGAGTTAAAACCCTATTCAGATTGATAGGTGTGTATACATGGCTCCTTGCACTGTGCATACTCACCAGGAGTGCTTGTGTGGATGCACTCTCTGTTGCATCAGGGTAGGAATTCTATTGGGCAACTCGCCATCATCTGGCATGCTGTCTGTTGGGAAACTTTGGCGATGCACGATGCGGCAGAAACTAGTCATGCAGCGACGACTGGAAGCAAGGGGTTAAGTTCCCATCATGCAACTTTCTCCATCCCATAATGCCATCCATATCCCATAATTTTCGCACCTTTTTTAAAACCCCCACAAAACTGCATAGCACTTCTCACTGTCCGCCTTCTCTGACAGAAGCATGGAGCCCTCACAGCTCTGCACTATTGTCATGAGCGTTGCAAACACAGGATGAAGAATCCTTCAGTATTTGCAGAGCCGCAGGAAGAACTGCAACCACAGGGGACATGATGATTTTGTGGAAGACAGATTGCTGTGGGACATAGTGAAAACCAGTTCAAGGTTGTTGGAGACATTCATGGAGCAGCTGCAGATGGTGCTGTGCTGCTTCTGGGCCCGAGAAACAAACACCGACTGGTGGGATCACATCGTAATGCAAGATTGGGATGATGAGAAGTGGGTGCAGAACTTTTGGCTGCTGAAGGCCACATTTCTGGATCTGTGGGCTGAGCTTGCACCAGCCCTTCAGTGCAGGGACACCAGAATGAGAGCTGCACTGACAGTTGAGAAGCAAGTGGCGTTCGCTCTGTGATAGCTCATCATGCAGGATTGCTACCATTCAGTAGGAAATCATTCTGGAGTTGGAAAATG